AGCCGGTGCTGGAGCCCTTCGTTTGCAAGGCAAACTCTGTAAGTTAAACTGGCTTAAATAATAAGTATATTATAGTATTGAATGCAAAGATTCTTTGACCAAATAAACACCTATTTAAAGAGACACACTGGTTTGTTCTTATGCAAGAAAAAGGAGACAAAATACAAATGAATCTAACAAAATGTACCAATAACTTGCAGGCCTATCTGTTCTACAGAGTGGGCCTTTGCTTCAAAGCTTCGACAGTGTCAAGTTTTGGTTGACATTTTGAGGACACACCTAAGGACAGTTTAGAGAAACCAATTAACCTAATAGTCATGTTTTTGGACTGTGGGAGGAAGCCAGAGTACCCAGAGAGAATCCATGCATGCTCAGGGAGAACATGCTAACTCCATGCAGAAAGAACCTAGGCTAAGAATCAAACCCAGAACCTTCTTGCTGCAAGGCAGCAGTGCTACCTACTGCTGCACTCAGCAGGTGATGAGATGCTTTATTACACTACATTTTCTTTTACAATTAGCAGTGGATGCTAGAAATGCAGCCTAAATATCCACAAACTACATGATCTCCTTTAGCTCCTCACATCTAGGTGCTGCAGCCACCATACCCGAGAATGTGCTGATTGACCCCATTTATGTTTTTACCTCATTATTTACTTAAATTTAGCAAAACAAACTTGGAACAATGCACTGCGTGGTGAACAGGTGTTTCAGTGTCTACAGCTCTGTGCCTGTTGGATAGCAGGGCTGGAATAATATACTGTGAAATCATTTTGACCACATCATATTCATCTTCCTGCTGGATTATTTATTTATTAATGCATCAATGAGACGCACTGAATAAGAACACTTGCTTGTATCTGAAGTTGTCCGGTCTGTTGAACAAGGATCTTCCTTTTCTGTTGCCTTCTTGAAGGTTATATTATTTTGAGCAGTTTTCAAGAATTCCTATTTTGAACACCAACATCTTTCTGTAACTTTGGCAAGTCGATTAAAGAGAAATCTGAGATTATTTTTGTTTTCCTCTAAAAGTGTAGAGTAACATTTTCCCTTCAGTTTCCTATCATAATGCTTCAAAGTGCATAGCTCTGAATCAAAAAGTTGGAGCCAGCTTCCTTTAAATGCATTCCTTCTTTTTCGGGTGGTGGGTGTTGTATTGTATAATACGATGTCCAGTGAAGAAGTAATCACATCAACAAAATCATCAGTTTGTGAAGGGGATTGAGTGCCCTCTGCTATTCTTTCCTGTAATACAGGAAATAATCAATAGGAGAACAGATTTTGTTTGTTACTGCATTATCTGATAGCAACTTGCAAAAGAGATACCATCATTTGGGGAGGAAAATTCTGTTAAATTACATTTATAGGTCATTAAGAATAGTAAGATAGGGCAGGATTGTAAGGAAGTACTGTTAGTTCTTCACAATCACTGTCATATCTCAGCACAAGGTCCAAAGTGCAGAGATGAGAATGCGTGGGAGTATGCAAACTTAAAACAAAGCCAATCAAGTCTAAGATAGCACTAAAGGCGGTATTTAAGCCTTCAACTTTAATGTTGGCATAAATATGTTAAAATCTCACCCAATAATTACTTTATCAGCATTTAATACTAAATTAAATAAGAGATCTGAAAGTGATCTGAAAATTGAGACTAAGGGCCTAAAGATGAAACAGAAGTAAAACTGGGTGTTAAGATTAGATTAGATTAGATGAGCTTTATTGATCTCACAGTGGAGAAATTCACTTGTCACATGTTGGCATAGTAGTTACAGAAGAAGGTGCAAACAAGGAGGAAAAAGTTGCATTAAGAAGAATAAACAATACTGTATATGTATATACAGTATATCCAGGTATATACAGTATATCAAGATAAATAAGGATTAAGGTGCAAGTGTACATGTATTGCACACAATGGAAAACAAAATAAAATAAAAATAAGAAATAAAAAAAAGATTTAAAAAAAAAAATACAAGGTAGTAGCACAGAGGTTTGAGGTGACATATGTACAATCCGGATGGTTTATATGCAGGTGGATTTACTTTAACGTTAAAGTGTAGTAGGTAAGGAACAACAGTGAGGTAGTGGTATGACTAATTCTATACACATCTATTGCACATTCAGCATATTGAAAGAATATTGCACAGTCAAATAAAAAAACTATAATGTAGCTGCACAGTGGTTTTTACAGCAGTTATTGTGGTTATAGTGCAGTAGTGCAGAGTCTGGTGGCAGCAGGAATGAATGACCTGCGGTAGCGCTCCTTCTTACAGACAGGGTGTCTAAGTCTCTGACTAAAGGAGCTGCTCAGCTCCTCTACAGTCTGGTGCAGGGGATGAGAGGTGTTGTCCATGATGGATGTGAGTTTGGACAGCATCCTCCTCTCAGCCACTTCCTCCACCGAGTCCAGAGGGCAGCCCAGGACAGAAGTGGCCTTTCTCACCAGCTTATTCAGTCTCTTTCTGTCCCGCTCTGAGCTGCCAGGGGCACAGCAGATGACAGCGTAGAGGAGGGCTGAGGCCACCACAGAGTCATAGAAGCTTTTAAGGAGGGGCCTGCTGACTTCAAAGGCCATCAGCCTCCTCAGGGGGTGGAGGCGGCTCTGGCCCTTTTTATACAGAGCGTCAGTGTTATGAGTCCAGTCCAGTTTATTGTTGACGTGAACACCCAGGTATTTGAAGCTCTCCACAGTTTCTATGTCCTGTCCCTGGATGTTCACGGGGGGGTGGGGTGATGGTCTTCTCCTGAAGTCGATCACCATCTCCTTGGTCTTACTGGTGTTCAGACAGATGGTTTCTCTCACACCAGTCCACAAATTCCATGATGGCCGACTGGTATTCCAGCTCGTTCCCCTCAGACACACAGCCCACAATGGCCGAGTCATCGGACAACTTCTGGACGTGGCAGCTGTCCGTGTTGTAGGTGAAGTCCGAGGTGTAGAGGGTGAAAAGAAAAGGAGACAGGACAGTGCCCTGGGGGGCCCCGGTGCTGCAGAGTGCCACCTCTGACTGGCAGCCGTGCAGCCGCACGTACTGAAGACGGTCAGTGAGGTAGTTGGGTGGTCCAAAATAAGTGTCCAAAATAATTATAACCAAAAGTTTTTTGGGGGTGTGACCGTGTGGGGTCCCGTCATTAATCCTCCTAGTGAAGACGACCCAGCTTTTCCTGCAGAGAAGATGTGCCTTGGCTACTTGGCCTACAACGGTGTTTACTACTCCCTTCAGAGGACAGCACAAACAGCCTCCTACCAGAGAGAGAAGTGACTGAAATAGTTTGTCGCTGGGGTAAGAGGAATCAGCCACAATCTTCCCTGAGAGCCTCAGAGTCCTGGAGGCGTACAGTTCCTGGAGAGATTGAAGATTACAGCCAATCACCTTCTCTGCAGACCGTATGACACGCTGCGGTCTGCTCTTGTCCTTGGCGGTGGCACCACCATACCAGATGATGGAGTAGGTGAGGATGGACTCAAGGATGGAGGAGTAGAACTGCACCATTATTGACCTTGGTAGGTTGAATTTATTCAGCTGCCACAGGAAGTCCATCCTCTGCTCGGCGTACTTGGTGAGAGAGTTGATGTCCAGCTCCCACTTTGGGTCCTGTGAGATGATTGATTGTAGAGCCATAGAGGGTGATGGGGATTGCTGGGGCTGAGTTTACAAATTAATTCTAGTGTAATTCCACTTCTACATGAAGCAAAGTCTCTGTAAGACAATATAAACCATTATTTTCATCATCACAAATTAATACAAACATTTAAAAGCCTTTTAAGGAGAGAGATTTTATCATTTAACCACATTTATTTATTTTTATTTTTTCACTCAATTACAGTCCTAGTCTCAGCGCTCCAGTCTGTGTGTTTGTTTTTGTGCCTGTCTCCCTTCCACAAACAGGAGGCGCCTGGTTCCGGTCCGCCTCCTCACACACCTGCTGACGGTTACCTCGTTAACGGAGTGCTCTTAAGCTGCTGGTTGCCACTACCTCGACACCAGAGTGTTTGCCTGTTTGCCAGTTTTTGGTACTCTAGCCAAGCTGAGTTTTTGCTGAGTAAGACTGAGTTCTTGTCAACCTGAGTTTTAACTTTGTTTTTTGTCTTTGCCTCTCGGCAGGAAGTCATCCTGCAAACTGGACCTTTCGGACCTCCACTCCCAGGAGGGATCAACTGAACCTTAAACTGAGCGAGGGATTCAAACAAGAGGTTTGGATCCAGTCTCCTTGAGAGGACGTTGAAATTACTCTCTGAGCAAAGGAATCATCTTCACTACGACCCGTTCAAGTACAGTAGGAAATCTGAGTGGCAATCAGTATCTCCGTTCTCCTACACCGTCAGAGTTCTAGGTAAACCCTGTTCCGCCCTCCACCCAATCAGACAAACTCTGGAAAACAGCACACAGATTGGAGTCAAAGATCCTTCACTACTCTGGAAACGTGAGTCAACAACAAGTTGCTCTTCTTCAAATCAACGAATGAAATTTCCCACTGAGCCTGAACTAATAGTCTGTCTTCCCCTCACCTTCCAGTTAAGGCTGAGCAGAGTTAAGAGCAACACAGCGCCGTGCTTAACCTCCTCAATAAAACCTGTTAAACTTTTCATCTGTGTCTCTCTGAATTGGTTTCACTTCATGTGGGTCCGAGCTTTAAATAAGATCATGACACCTAGTAGTTTAAATGAAATGTTTTCTCATTTAGATTTACATCTTGATTCTTGGCAAGACACTGTCCGAATAGAGTAATGGTTAGGTAGCAGTAGAGAAGTGGCAGAGAAGTGAATTAAACTATGACTTTAGTTCCTTGTCTGGTTGGCTGATCTGATATGATCATTTATTCTCCCTGTTTTAACACACCGTAAGCTCCACTTTGTTTAGGGTGATGGTTATTGCCCACTCAACCTTTTAGATATCACGGGGCAGGCAGGGTATTACTGGAAGAGCTCAAAGTCTGACTTAAAGAGGAAGTTCAAACTATTTAAACCTCAAAGGCAGGATCTTACTGTCACTAAGAGGTAAAATGGCTCAGAGAGGAGCTCAGGTGGAGAAACTCTCCTGTTCCATCTGTTTGGATCTACTGAGGGATCCCGTGACTATTCCCTGTGGACACAGCTACTGCATGACCTGCATCAAAGACGTTTGGAAAGGAGAAGATAAGCAGAGAAGCTGCAGCTGCCCTCAGTGTAGGAAGACCTTCGTTCGAAAGCCTACCTTAGAGAAAAACGTCACATTAGCCGCTTTAGTTGAGGATCTGAAGAAGACTAGACTCCAAGCTGCTCCAGCTGATCACTGCTATGCTGGACCTGAAGATGTGGCCTGTGATGCCTGCACTGGGAGGAAGATGAAAGCTGTCAAGTCCTGTCTGGTCTGTTTAGTTTCTTATTGTAAAAATCACCTCCAGCCTCACTATGATGTCCCTGGACTGAAGAAGCACCAGCTGGTGGACCCCTCTAAGAAGCTCCAGGAGAACATCTGCTCCCATCACGATGAGGTGATGAAGATCTTCTGTCGTACTGATCAGCAGTGTATCTGTTATCTCTGCTCAATGGAGGAACATAAAGAGCATGAAACAGTCCCAGCTGCAGCAGAAAGGACTGAGAAGCAGAAGGAGCTCCAGGAGAGACGACAACAAATCCAGCAGAGAATCCAGGACCAGGAGAAAGATGTGAAGCTGCTTCAACAGGAGGTGGAGGCCATCAATGGCTCTGCTGATAAAGCAATGGAGGACAATGAGAAGATCTTCACTGATCTGATCCATCAGATCCAGAAAAGAAGCTTTGATGTGACTCAGCAGATCAGATCCCAGCAGGAAACTGAAGTGAGTCGAGTCAAAGAGCTTCAGAAGAAGCTGGAGGAGGAGATCACTGAGCTGAAGAGGAAAGATGCTGAGCTGGAGAAGCTCTCAATCACAGAGGATCACACCCAGTTTCTCCAGAACTACCCCTCACTGTCAGCACTCAGTGAGTCTACACACTCATCCAGCATCAATATTCGTACTCTGAGATACTTTGAGGATGTGACAGCAGCTGTGTCAGAACTCAGAGACAAACTGCAGGACATCCTGAGAGAAACAGAGACAAACATCTCACAAGCGGTCAATGAAGTGAATGTCTTACTGTCAGAACCAGAACCAAAGACCAGAGCTGGATTCCTAAAATATTCCAAAAAAATCACTCTGGATCCAAACACAGCAAACAAGAAACTGTTATTGTCTGAGGGTAACAGAAAAGTAACAAGGATGAAACAAAAGCAGTCTTATCCTAATCATCCAGACAGATTCATGGAATATAATCAGGTCCTCAGTAGAGAGAGTCTGACTGGACGCTGCTACTGGGAGGTGGAATGGAAAGGAAAAGGTGTTGTTGTTGCAGTTTCATACAAGAATATCAGCAGATCAGGATGGTCAGATGAATGTGAGTTTGGATTCAATGAGAAATCATGGTCATTTGACTGCAGAGCTGACAGCTGCACATTTTATCACAACAGAGTTGAAACTCCAGTATCAGGTCGGGTTTCCTCCAGAATAGGAGTGTATCTGGATCACAGAGCAGGTGTTCTGTCTTTCTACAGCGTCTCTGAAACCATGACTCTCCTCCATAGAGTCCTCACCACATTCACTGACCCTTTGTATGCTGGGATTTGGCTTTTCTATGTTGATGACTCTGCTGAAGTTCTTAAACTGAAATAGTCAGAACTGATCTGAGTTCCAGTTAGTTTTAGCTCCAGTTTCCGTAGTTTCCTTCATTGTTGTTCTTTTCTGCTCATAGATCAGCTGTTTTTATGGAGCTTCTTTGTCATTGTAGGGTTTATTTGGATGCTGCCCCTTTCTCTTTATGAGGCTTTCATTGCTTAGGAGAATTTTTTTTTCATTTAAAATAATCAAGTATGTATTGCTTTCTCAGATATGTGCAGAACAGATGAGCTAACTTTATCTCTGAGTTTTCATCCACAATTACTCTGTTCTAAAAAACATTACGTCCACTAAAACATCCTTATAGCAAGTTAAGCTGAACAATGAGATATTATCTGAACGTCCAAAGTGTAACTCTGTCCTTAATATTAAACCACCTGTAGAGTCTTTTATGAGACGAAACGCAAGATCAAGTTAATCATTTTATTTCCTTCTGACTGGAATATTCCATATTCCCTAACCGAAAGTTGTAATGATGAATGTTTATTATGTTATGATTATGACTGTAAACTGTTTATGTTGTTAATGTTTACAACTTTAGTGTGCAAAGCAACTCTGAGACTGTATGTGAAAACATCTGAAAACAAACCTGGTGTATAATAACATAGCAATACATTTCTTTTGGTGTTTGGTTATCTAAAAATCTGATTTTCTGTAGTTATAAGAAAATATATGATCATTTTTTTTGTTTTGCAAAAATGCAGCACTATAGTTTTCATATCATGCATTTAAAGGCTTTGATTTTTATTTCCTTATATCAGCAATCTGGGTCCAAATCCCAAAAGAAGAAGTTCTTGACCGGTTTTCTCAAGCTCAAATGCTGGGAAAGGACTTTTAGATGTGTTCTTTTCCTTACATTTAATCATCAAATGATTAAAATACGTTACTAACTCTACGAGATCAGCTCACATTAGACTCAGGTGTGTTGAAGCCGTCTAAAAGTTGCAGTTGAAGACCGGACTCCTGGTCTAGTCCTTCACTTTTAACTAATGCAGCATTTCTTTCTTAATAGATACACATTGGTCAGCTTTGCATGTGATTTAATGTTTCCTATAACCTTTAGTAAACTTTCACTTGATGCTAACATTTATATGATAAGAAGGGTTTGTAAATTCTGTGTAAGTGAAAAATGTAAAGACAATCTGTAAATGATAGTTTATATGAAAATAAATGTGAACATTGATTTTTAACTCTGTATATAGTGAGATTGGTGATGCTTTTTGAAGTGTTTGATTGTGAATTTACTGAAGCTTATTTAAAAGCTAAGATTCTGAATCAAACAATCTGATTTTGTAAAAAAAGTTGATATTAATCTGATTTTTTTTAATGATTCCTAAATGATACATTTGCCTTCAATGTTAAAGATGAATCTTTGGCGAAAAAAAATAATAATATTGAGATAACTCTATAATCTATGCAGCATTTGTTCATGTATGTAATTCTATAAACCCGATAGAATTAAATGTAATGTGTTCTTTAAGTCCTACTTTGGCCTGTTTAAGCATTAAACTGAAACAAAGAATTGTTTTTTAGACATATATAGACAAATCTTAATTGTTTTTGTGTAGTTTCTAAATGAAATGTTTTGAAAAATAAAATCTGCGATACAAAATGTTGACTTTTCTCTTTTAGTAAAGAACAAAATAAGCAAATCCAACTCATTGCATGGGTTCCCTTACCGTGGAGTAAACAAATGGTTGTCATGGTTTCCTATTTATAGCTCTGTTCAATAGATTTTAGCTAGCTGTAATTGCTTTTCAGTTTTTCTGCTTATGCATTTTGGAGTAAAGTGTGTTGCAGAAGAGAAGCATCTAAAAAGACACCAGCCATCAAGGACTAGAGTTTATGACCATTTAAGCGGCGAATGATACCAGCAGGTCTGTTTAACCTTTAACACAGTCACTGTTCAAGTTTATAGTGTAACCATAACTCCAGCTGCTTAGAGAAACAAGAAGCTACTGAGAATAAATCTGTTTGCCAGCATTTTTTTGTGTCCTTTGTTTCTAACTGCTGCCCTGTGATGGACTGGCAACAGTCCAAGATGTAACTTAACTATGATTTACAGTCAGTCAAATATCAATGCATCATTCTGCACTAACTGAATGTGAGCCAAGATTTTTTTTCTTTCAGGAAGTAAAAAAACTATTACAATTATCTTACCAGGAAATAAAAAAAGATGATCAACCATCTCAAGTTCAGTCTGTCACACAAAGACGTTACTTAAGTGATAAAAATTGGTGCAAACTAACATCTTGCTATGGTTGTCAGAAGGCAAACTGTCAAAGATGACACCCAGGTTTCAGATCATTTTTACAGTAGGAGCTATAGAAACAAGATGGTACCTGATGAGTTTTTTTCCCCCATCAAGTGAAATAGTAGAAGTCTCTGTTTTGTTTGTAAGTGTTGTACAGCCTTTGATTTCCGATGGACAGTTCCTGAGGTCAGACAATTTGAAATACTTAAAATATTAAAAATGAGCCGCACTGTTATCAGCATACAAATAACAACAAAGAGGGTATAAATACAAGGAAACAAACTGGATTCCTAACATCTTCAAGGTTTGATTTAACTCTTTGAATTCTCAGAAAGCGAGGCACAGCCAAATTTCTGTGTTTTCTTGTTGCAGAAGCATTTTATTTTATTTTTTAACAGTGTCCTGTCTGGCAATGTGGCGATAAAAATAATTGTTTTGATGTAAAAAAAAAAAAAAAGCCCAACAGATTTTACTTTCACAAGTGGAGCAGTACGGCTATCGCCACAGTGTTCCGCTTGATTTATGCATATAAATAGCTATATTATAATTATGCAGGGAGTTTTACGTATTATATGGACACTGCAATGTAAGTACAACAGGAAAGGAAAAACAGAAATAAAGGAGAAAAGATTAATGAAAGAGGAGATAAAAGGGATATAACGATAAAACATTTTAAGTCTCCTTTATCACCTGCAAAGAGATGTAAAAAGAACAGCACAACCAACAGACATGGTATGAGATATAAAATAAAGTAACACCTAGATACTATCGCTGAAGTATATGTAGTATTATTTAATTTGAAAAGTATTCTGTGTTACCGGAAGATAAGAATGTGGGCTTTCTGTGTGGAAGTGAATCTCTGAGTACCTGGAGCCAAGCATCTGTAGTTGTTTGTGAGAATGCACTTGTGCATTTAAAGTTTATCCAAAGGAAAAATGCTCAATAGTGGTTGCAGTAGCGTTTAATCTCATTCACAGCATTGTAAGTTACTATTTATGTTATCAGCTTACTAGCTGGTTTGTTGGGAGAGAGCTGCATGTCGTCATACCTTTTTGTGTTGTCTTGAAACAGGATATTCTCTTCAAGGTCATCTTAAAAGGCTGAAAATCGTTTTTTGACTCCCACAAGGTTATAATAACAATATATATTTATTTGGCTTCTGTTTCATAAAACCAAAAGTCTCCTTACAGAGAAGAAGAAACAAAACTCAACCAATTAAAGAAAGCTTGCCATAATTTATCCCCTCATCTCCAGAAAATGCTAAGTTTTAAGCCTAGTCAAAGCATGACTTTGGACTTCTGATGTGGCCATGGACACAATGGAGGACCAGGAGCTGACATGATGTGAGTCCCTTCAACCAGCATCATTTAGATAAAAAAACAACTCTTAAATCATCAGCTGTGGGTTGAATTAGTAGTGCTGTCAGCTAATATAAAGTGATATACAGTAATCTGAAAAAAGTTAAATTACTGTACTGTACAATCTGCAGTTGTCACATTTAAGAAAAATAAATATCAAATGTCCTCATACTTTTAAGCTCAGTGTGAAAATATTAAACACACCATTAATTACAGATGCAAAGCTTGTGGTCTTCTGAATGTATCTAACCTGGATCTGAATAAAATTCTTCTCTGTACCACTAGATGGAGATCTGTCCCAACACTGAGAAGCATGGAACCATACATAGGAGCTTTTTTTTTTTAGGTTTGTCCAACTAATTTGGGAATACTGGATGTGCCATAATTTTCTTCAACTGAATAAAAACAAAACTGAAGTAATAATCTTTGAACCAATAGAGGAGAGATCTAAAGTTAGCACACAGC